CCATGTGTCCACAGGGCGTGCTGGCAGTGCTGAAATGCTAAGTCACCTTGGGTTTGGCTCGCTAAGCGTCTGCACAAGCCTCTCGGCTCATCTCGCTGGCACAGCATCCTTCATCACCATCACTCAAATCCCTAAATCGCTGAAGATGCCACCAAGATGGGCCAAGAGGCGCCCCACACGGCCCCAGACGTCCCGAAGACAGCCCGCGAAGACAAGCAGAGAGATGCCCCAGACGGCTCACGAGGCCTCCCAGACGTCCCCAGACGCTCAAAGAGGGCCAACTGGACCCCCAAAGGCCGAACTAACAAGTGGCACGCGCGCCCAGCATCGTACAACCTGTAGGCCAGACGAGCAAAGTTCGGAAAGGATCGTGGGAGTCAGAGGACAGGGTGAGAACAGGCAGTCAAGGGTGAGAACGATCGAAACGATAACAAGTGCCCGATAAGAGCGGCACGAGATGGGCAGAAGGACGACGGTGAGGAGAAGGAGCGCATTGAAATTGGACCAGACGCCACGATCCCGACCATCGAGATTCGCCGAACGTCAAAAAGTTAGTGTGGCCATCCCGGATGCATCTGGGGAGCTCATTGGGGCCACCTGTGGCTCTTTTGCCTCTCTAGAGGTCTCCTAGATGGGGTCGAAGTAGATGGGATCGAAGGAACACGCCGCATCGACGATGCATCGACGATGCACAGGCGATGCATCGACGATGCACCGGCGACGTCGGCGGTGCATGGGCGCCGTCGGCGAGAAGAAAATCGGTCCCCACATCGAGCCGCATCGCCGATGTATCGGCGATGCGTCTCGATCCTCCGACCCCACCTACAGCGAACCCGTGTAAGAAAGATGCGCGGTGAGGATGCAAGGGCCTTGGAGGGCCATATCAACGCTTTTCGATCGAGGTTGGCCAGCGAAAGTCGCTAAGGATGGGCCGAAGGGGAAGGATGCAAAGGGTAGCCTTGGAAAGTCGTTCATCCTTCCTACGCGGGTTAACAGTACTCCGACCCTGTCTGGGAGGCCTAGGCTCGGGCCTGTCTGGGGGGGGGTTCGCTGGGCAATCCCGAGGGCCTCCAGGGTCGTCTTTTGGCGGTGCGCACAAGGGGAGTAGGGAGAGGGGGGGGAGGCTGCTTCTTGGAAGGCGCCAGCCCTGCAGCTGTAGATGAGGCCCGCGCCTTCTCAGAAGCAGGGGTGCTTCTAAGAAGCCCTCACCCCTCCCCCGACCCCCCTCTGCGCGTGGCTGAGTCTTGTTATGAGAAAGTTCCCGGAGGCCTCGCCGCGTGGCAGCTTGAGACCCAACTTCTTCCGTCTGATCCAAATCGGCTTCGCGTGGGGTCACATCGGCGTACGTCGGATGCACGTCGAACTCACGTCGGATTCACGTCGGACTTACGTCGGCACGTTGCCGTGCGACAGTCGCCCCATATCTTCCGGGGCAGACGTGCGGACTAGATAGGACAACTATTGCGCGCCGCGCGAGGCCTCGAGGGCTTTCCTCACAAGTCGAGGGGCCTCGGGGCCCGTTGGACCCGAATGAAAGCCTCTTGGGCCTGTCTCGAAAACACCTTGATCTGGAACGACGGAAAATGAAAGTGCAACGGAGCCATGTGAAGTTGCAACAGTTTGACGCCTCAAGTGCGTCCCGCGAACCATTTTAGGGCCTGCTTGGGCCCACCTTGGGGTCTGATAGATAGTCGTCGAGGCCCCTGGAGTGTCTAGAGGTCCGTAAACCGCATACTTAAACCAGGTTGGAAGAAACGTCGAGGAAGGAGATCCAGGAAATGCTTGGAAGGCGGTCCAGGACGGAGGGGAGGGGCACCATCGGTCGCACGGCTGGTCGGAATGAGCAGCTGTGAGACAAGACCGGCAGTCAGTATGATCAAAAAGCGTATGGGTTGTCTTGTGCTTCCTCCAGATATTGTGGCACAAAAGCTTTCCGGCTCGAAGTGGTTACAAGGAGGGCCTCGGATTGCATGGAGAGGGCTCCAAGACGGCCCCAAGACGGCCACGAGGGGGGCCCCAAGAGGGCCCGAAGACGCCTCCGCGGGACTCCCGCACAAAAGCAAAACTATCACATTCGACAGCGCCCATCGGCACGCCCGAGACGCGCTACCGAATTGGACGGGTTTGCGCTTGCACCGCCAAAGAGAATCGCAAGACGGCCCCAGCCAGGTCCCAAGACGACCAAGAGACCCCAGGGACCCCCAAAACGGCACACGGGTGCCCCAAGGAGGCTCAGGCGCGTTGCAAAAGTCGGCGGCGAGCGATGGGGGGGAAATGAGAAGGACAAGGCCTTCTCGGAAGCCGGCGGGACCTCTCAGAAGCTCTCGCGCCTTCTGAAAAACTGTTCTGTGTCTTCGGGGAAAGCTCCGGAAACTTCCCAGAAGGCCGGGGGACTTCCGAGCCTTCTGAGGAGGCCCGCCCCTTCTCGCTCCCCCGCGGGATCGCCGCCGATCCATGAAGTTGGCCGAGGAGGACCCGACGCCCGCCGCTGCCGCCCAGGCCGCCCTGTCTCTTGCTGCAGAGAGTGTGGCCCTGTCTGGCTCTGCCTCCCTTCGCTCAGAGGAGGCGGAGGCGTGCCTTGACGTGTGCAGTCAGCAGCAGGCATCGGAGACTGCCCGAGAGGGCCCCCGAAGAGAGCCCGCAAATGTGCCGCCCCGGGGGGCCCCAGGGAGGGCCCGCTCTTCGGCCACGGGCAGCGGCGCTGACGTGCCGGAGGCGCACACGGCTCAACGACTCTGCGATCTCTGGGCCCACCACGCCAGGCCTGACAACCTCCTCCTCCTCCTCCTCCTCCTCCTCCTCCTCCTCCTCCTCCTCCTCCTCCTCCTCCTCCTCCTCCTCCTCCTCCTCCTCCTCCTCCTCTCCTCACCTCCTCCTCCTCCTCCTCCTCCTCCTCCTCCCATCATCATCATCATCATCATCATCATCATCATCATCATCATCATCATCATCATCATCATCATCATCATCATCATCGCCATCATCATCATCATCATCATCATCATCATCATCATCATCATCATCATCATCATCATCATCATCATCATCATCATCATCATCATCATCATCATCATCATCATCATCATCATCATCATCATCATCATCATCATCATCATCATCATCATCATCATCATCATCATCATCATCAGCAGCATCATCAGCATCAGCATCAGCATCAGCATCAGCATCATCAGCATCAGCATCATCGTCATCAGCCGTCATCATCATCAGCAGCATCATCAGCATCATCAGCATCAGCATCATCATCCCGAATTTCGGGCTTGGGGGGGTACGGGATTCGTATGCGTGTTTGTTCCATGTTCCCCGACCCACCCCGCCTCCCACTGGGAATGGAGGGCACATTGGGACCTTCGGGTTGGGCTAGGGGTGGTTTTGCGATGCGGGGATTTATCCATACCCACCGCCTGGGAACCGACGTCCTGGTGCCCCAGCGGGCCGTGGATATGGATATATATTGGCCCCCTGGGGTCCGAATATGTCCATATCCACCGCCTGCCGAGATCCCCGAAATTGATCCTCCAGGCGGTGGTCATGTATACATTCCCGCCTCGGAGGTTTGGTGGGTGGTGAAGGCCTGAGCTGCATCGCATCGCGAAACCAGATCGGATCGGCAACGGATCGGATCGCGCGTACATCGCCACGACCTCGGATCACCATGGGGCCCTCTGGGCTCTCGCGGATCGAGGCTCGGCCCCCGCAGACGCCGGAGAGCGGGGACGGGCTCTCGTGCCGGCTCGAACCGCCTCGAGGTCGGAGTCAAAGCTCGGGGATCGGACCAGGCGGGCGACGATCAGAAACGGGTCTTACGCGAGATGGCGTAGCGAACTTACGCGGTGGCTTACGCGCGCTGCCAGCGCGGCACGCCACATTGAAGACGAGGGCACTTACGCGCGACCTACCTTACGCTGGCAGCTTAGGCGCCAATGTCGGCGCAGACGACCTAATTTTTTGGAATCGATCAAATTGAACCAGACCGTGAGCAGCCCTGGTAAACTCCCCGCGCCTCCCCGTCGCCCGTCATCCTCCTGCCCCCGGGCCTCATGTTGCAGAGCCGCCAGTACATGCTCTGGGTCACGTTCGACTTCTTCGCCGCGCCGCACTCCTCGGAGCCCAGCACGTAGCACCAGGGCGCCCTCGCGTCGGCCGTCATCGCACACCTCGGAAGAGGGGGGAGCTGTCACGGGGAGCATAGCCACCCCAATCCCCGACTTAGTGGGGTTTGGGACTGGATACAAAAACTGTGGCCCAGCTCGGAGATGATGGAGGGGGGGGCAGGGGCGTCCATCCTCGACTGGGGTGCGTCCGGATAGCCCTCCCGGTGGTTTATCCCCGAGTTCCCTTTCCATTTCTGGGCGACAACTCTCTGGGGGTGAGGAAACTCCAGAACCTGGGGAGAGAAATCACCAGTGAAGCTTCGAGCAGGGGATCGACTACAGAATTGCCTTGCCCCACAATGGCTTTTCTCGTCGAGTCTAGGAGAAACACGTGGACTGCTCGGAGATCTACGAGCATGCTCCGTGGTTTTGTCACACACTCGACTAGAACATCAATATTGGGGTAAACCAATTCTGTCGTCGAGCCCCTGATCGCAAAAAAGAAGAGGGGGAGGGTCCCATTTTCGGATGGACCCCCCTCCGCACGAAAGGACAGGTTCGCCTTCCCCCCTCGGGAAGTCGAGACTCGTTCCTCAGCGGGCTTCCCCCCCGGCAGCCGAGACTCTCCGATTCAATCGCTTCGCTCATTCCGCCGGCCCGTGGAGGGCTGGCGGAGCGCACGAGGGCGCGGCGCGACGAGGGGGGGGGGCCTATCGGTGGTGTATCGGCGAGTTCCTTTTCCACTTCTGAGCGACAATATTTTTAGGGGTGGGGAAACTCAAGGATCTGGGGAGAAGGAGCGAGGGAGCGAGGAGCGAGGGAGCAAGGAAGAGAAAAGCCAGCGAGGGAGAGGGAGAGAAATCTCTGGACAGACTGGAGGAGCGAGGGAGAGAAGAATCACCCGCGAAGCGCGAGGGGGAGGCGGAGGAGGGCTGACGGCGCGCACGAGGGCGCGGCGCGTGGAGGAGGGGGGGGGGCCTGACTGCCTACCAGACCAGCCCAACCCAACCCGAAGACCCGACTCTCGGGCTGCGGGGGGTGCGGGATCCACATGTGTGTTTCCCGTGTTCCCCCGCCCCCTCCCCCACCGGAAGTGGAGGGCAAATCGGAGCCTTTGGGTCGCGCTGGGGTGGTTTGGTGGGCGGCGAGGGCCTGCCAGGAAGACGCGGGGGGCGGGAGGGGCTTCCCAGCAGGCGAAGGGGGGCTCATCAGAAGCCCTCCTGGCCTCCCGAGGGAGGCCTCGCGGCCCTGCAGGGCTTGCCCCATGGGAGGGGATCCATATCCTCCTCCTCCTCCTCCTCCTCCTCCTCCTCCTCCTCCTCCTCCTCCTCCTCCTCCTCCTCCTCCTCCTCCTCCTCCCCCTCCTTTTAGTTCGAGCCCCTGGGCCCTTCCACCGAGACCCCTGCCATCCGAGAACCCTCCCCGCCTTCTTGGAGGCCCGCCGCTCTCACGCCAGGCCCCCCAGGGCGCGCCGCCGAGAGGAGGATGGGGGGATGGGGGCGGGCGAGGGGAAGAGGTGGGAGGGGGGAGAGGAGGAGGATGGGGGAGGCGTGCCAGGGGCGGACGGAGAGATGGAGGATGGGGGGGCGGGCGAGAGGAGGAGGATGGGGGATGGGGGATGGGGAGCCGTGCCAGGGGCAGACGGAGAGCGGTGGCACAATGTGAGAGGGGCCCAAAGGCACACACACACACATAAGTAGACACCAGTCCCAGGACTCCCCATATTGCCCACGTGTGTTCCGGAGGTTCGTCTTCCCCTCAACTTCCCAGGTTGTCCACACTTTCCTGGGAATCGACGACTCGTTGTGTCTGCGTGTGCTTCCCGTTCGTGACAGCGGGGGTGGGAAGAGGAGGACCCGGAGGGGAACCCAGACCCACGACCCTCGCGAGGCCCAGTGCGTCGCCCGCCAAAAGTCGCCACGCGCCTGTCTCGAATCACAGCGCCTGGCACGTCAAGGTTCCTTCGCACGATGGGAGAAGGGGAAGAGCAAATAAGGGCATAAGCATATATACACTTTTGTTGCGGATGCCATAACAATGGACACTCGAACAATCCTACCATTGAATTAAAGATGTGTTTCAAATGTGTAAAGCATGTTCTAAACATGTTTCAAACATGCGTTTTACATGTTCAAAGCATGTTTGAAACATGTTTTAGACATCTGGGAAATATTTGGCAGTACGCTTCCTCTCCATTAATCGACTTCCACAACACTTTTGATGCTCCGTTCGGGTTTCTTGGATCTGAGCTGGACCCCCCTCCCCGACGCGCGGAGCACGCCGAGGGCGGCGCCGGAGGCGCCGCCAGGGGGTCCCAGCGCAGATCCAAAAAACCCGCGCGGACCGCCAAAGGTTTATGGTTATGCCGTTCTTCTCCTTCGAAGAACACCCCGCATCCCCCGCCGACCTTCTCTCCCTCCATCCTATCACTCCCTGGTGATGCGCCCAAGGCCATATCACGCGCATTTGCAAAAGAGGTTTTCAACGTGGGCTTGATGTCAAGCATGTGGCTTTGCACCGTTGATCGCTCAGAATTAATATCCCCGCCCTCCCGTTCACCTTCGCTCCCGCCACCCTCCTCCCTCTCTCCCTTCGCATTTCCCAGCGTCCCCTCCAGTCCTCTCATCTCCGACCCCCCTCCCTTCATATTCCATCCCCTGTTTCCCTCCCTCTACCTCCTCCGTCTCCCATTCTCACTCAAAGCCCCCCCCCCCCTCCCCTCGCCCCATCCCTTCATCATCCGTCCCTCTCGTCCTCCCTCCGCCTTTCCCTCTCACGTCTTTATCCCCCTCCCGCCAATGCAACGAGTAGGGCGAGTGCCTGGACTTAGAGAAAAGAGGAAGATGAGGGGAAAGGAGGAGGAAGAAGAGGAGGAGGAGGAGGGGTCGGAGGAGGGAGGAGGGAGGAGGGAGGCGGGAGGAGGGAGGCGGAAGGAGGGAGGAGGGTGGAGGAGGAGGGGAGGAGGAGGAGGAGGAGGAGGAGGAGGAGGAGGAGGAGGAGCAGCAGCAGCAGCAGCAGGAGAAGGAAGAAGGAGGAGGAGGAGGACGACGACGGCAAACGACGATGAGGAGGATGAGGAGCCCATCAGCAAAATGGAAAACCCGACCAGGCGCCGCTCAAGCATCCGCAGGAGAAGACGGCACAGCGAAGCAGCAGCAGCCAAAAAACGAAGCGCGGCATCCTGCTGTACGAGACCTCCTCGCTGCTGCCGGGCGGGGTGTACGACCAGCTCTCCAGGCACTCGCACGGGTCCAGGCACGTCCTCTCTGGGGAGGGGCGCGGGAGGCCTCCCCGCCCGCCCCCCCCCCCCCCCCGCGAGGCCGCGCGCCCCCCTGGCAGGGGTCCGAGGCTCGAGGCTCGAGGCTCGAGGGCTCGAGGATCGAGGATCGAGGTGCGAGGTTCGAGGATCGAGGCTCCAGGCTCCAGGATCGGGGACCGAGGTGCGAGGATTCGGGGACCGGGAGGCGGAAGCCGGGATCGAGGATCGGGGACCGAGGTGCGAGGATTCGGGGCCCGGGGGGCGGAAGCCAGGATCGAGGATCGAGGATCGAGGATCGCGGTGCGAGGATCCAGGCTCCGGGATCCAGGATTCAGGGCCTGTAGGAGGCCGAGTCGAGGATCGCGGGTCGAGCTTCGAGGCTCGAGGCTCGGAGGGAGGGCGCTCGAGCGCGGACCCGCGCCGCGCCAGCCGCTGGAGGCCTCCGCTCGCCCCCTGACGCTCCCCGGGCCTCCAGAGACTCGAGCGGGAGTCCCGCTTTTTGTCCGAAGTCTCGGCCTGCGGAGGAGGAGGAGGAGGAGGAGGAGGAGGAGGAGGAGGGCGGGTCGCCTAAGCCCTTCGGAGAAACCCTCCAGAGGAGGCTGCTGCACAGGAGGCAGGCGTGCTGGGCCGACGCGCGGCCTGGCCTCCGCCGGCGCGCCGGTGGCGCGTAGCCAAAGGGGGCCGCCGCGGCAAGGCGAGGGGCCGGCCAGGGGCAGCCTGGCAAGCGGGCGGCAAGGAAGGCCGCCGGCCAGGCAGTGGGCGAAGGGGCCGTGCCCCCATGAGCATCGTTTAACCGATCCCCATCCCCACCAGCGTGTGGGCTGGGCCCCACTGGCCGATTTACCCCCATGGATGGGGATATAGGCTGGTTTCGAGGGGCATCTTCCCAACTGAGGTGGTGAGACGGTGAGGCTCGAGATGTGGATGGGGATGGGGAGAAGGATCGGTTAAACGATACTGACCCCAGGTCCCTTAGAGTCGTCTGCGTGGATTGTTGTGATACTCTTCAGTGAGCCCCATCCCGAATTCCGGGCGCTCTTGGGCGCTCTCGGGTTATTCTGGGGCTGCTCGCATGCTTCTCGCGTGACTTTTCTGGAGGCTCCGAGGAGGTCACGGACACCTCGTCCACCCACACGTCCAAGTCTCAGGCCTCAGCGGGCATCCCGCCAAGCACAGAACACCAGAAACGAGGGCCCTGGGAAGGAACTGTCACCCGACAAGCGGTGCACAATGGCCTGCGGATAGATAACATCCAGAGCAACTGAATTCTCCAGGACTGATTCGGGACTACTTATACCCTCCTCTTCTTCCCCCGACACCTTCCTCTTCCTACTTCTCCTCCGCCACCACCACCTCCTCATCATCATCATCATCGTCATCATCATCCAACTCCTCTTTCTCCTCCTCCTCCACCTCCTCCTCCTCTTCACCCTCCTCCATCATCATCATCATCGTCATCATCATCATCATCATCATCATCATCATCATCATCATCATCATCAGCATCATCATCATCATCAGCAGCAGCATCGGCATCATCGTCGTCATCATTATCATAACGTCCTCCTCCTTCTCATCATAATAATAATCTGCATCATCATCATCATCATCAGCAGCAGCAGCATCAACAGCATCAACATCATCATCAGCAGCCGCATCAGCATCAGCATCATCATCACCATCAGCATAATCAGCATCATCATCAGCATCGTCATCAGCAGCAGGATCAGCATCATCATCACCATCTTCGTCATCGTCATCAGCATCCTCACCATCACCACCACCACCACCATCATC